CTTAACATGCAATACTTCTGTATGACGGGCATGAGAATGTTGTACGAGCAATGACTTAAACAGATACTAAATATACTATGAGAGAGGAGGAAAAGAGGTTGGTAGCTAGAGGACTCGGATAGGAAGATTGCTATGACAAAAAAAACATGGGATGGGGGTTTATTAGGCAACAACATTTGACCTTATAGCGTTGTAATTAAGAAGTTTATATATATATATATATATTTATATATATATATAATGATTGTACATACAATTAGTTAGAATTATGAAATTAGTATTAACAATGGACTGTAATGGTGGGAATAAATTTCATAATTAAATATATGCATCTTTTAAAGATTAATGATTTTTAAATTTAATCCTTTAAATATTAAGAGATTAAAGAAATAATCATGCCCAGGAGGTTTAAATTTTTAAATGGCCGGAAAATAAATAGAACCTTACTATTGTAACAATTCTAACTTCTTTTTACTTAATTATTTCTATTAATTTTTTCCCTTATAACTATTTCATTTTAAATCTAACTATTTTCTTTAAGTGCTTTTGCTTTTCCACAACACAATAGTGAGCTGTCCAATTATCTGTGTTCTCTATGAATTTTTTCTTGTGGGATTTATTAGTTCTTTTTTTTCATTTTGTAAATGATAAACCACATTTTTCTACTGAGCTTGTGAGATTTCAATTAGAATTTCAACTCACAACAATTTAAAATTTTAAACTGTTGTTACCCGATTGGTTTATACTATCTTCTTTTTTACTTTCCTACCTATACTAGGTAAGGAAAGTATTGCAATCGGGTCAAATTTCCGACATGCGGTTTTCGACGGATCTATACATTTCAGAGCCCCCTGAGTCCTAAAAACATTAGCCTGTCGTTTGAAAGGTAATGAAATTCCCTACAAAGCCATATAAAAATCTTTCATTTTGGACAACTATTAACGAAGTTACAGTTTGTTACTATTCAATTTCCAATGTAAGATTACGGTTTCATATCCTGGTGTCAGAAATGGGTGAATGAGAGAATAAAGATGACTAAGTGAAAGTAAGAAAATCTGTTGCCCACATCACACAACCATCACTATTTCCCATACTTTTAACAGAAATTATTGTTTGTCAATACTAAGCTATGCCAAAAAGTTTTTGATCAGCAATATGAGGAAGTATTGAAATTTTAACACTGATCTACCTTAAGCCGGTTTTCATTGCTTTAATTTATCAAATAAATCGTACTCAAATCTTATGTTTGATCAATTTTCAGGAAAAGGTATCTAGTTCAATTCTTTTTTGTTTCTTCATGAACATATGTAAAGATATAAAAACTTTTCTGAAATAAGTAGGAAAGTCGTGTGAGTGGACACACCAGATTTTTTTTATTTTTTTTTTGTCTAAACAGGAGTTAATGGCCTTTTTCATCAAGTATTATACAAATCAAGTTCGTCCACAACAATTCTTAACCCGCGAGTGGGCGCCCTGTTCCATAAAGTGAAAGAATTAGGTTTCTTTTACTCTTTCAGGCACATTGGGGCCTTCACTTCACAGGTGTTCCTCACAAACACCCTCTGATACCTGATCATTGATATTGGAAAATGTTTGCAAATTCAGTTGTCTCTTGGATTTTCAGTGTTAAACTTCACATGTTATACATACAGAAAAATATACATGATGTTAAAAATCATGAAATATGTATAAAAGCATTAGACATGGATCAAATGAAACTGAGTTCTAAAATTTGACTATACAAGCTTTTCTCCACAAACTACCTAGTCATGTCATAAATGTTGTTATGTGGAAATATATACACATTTCAACAGAAAAATTAATTTTTTTCAAAAACTTGATGATAAAATAACATGTATATCTATAGAGAGTAAAACAAAAAAGAAATTAATCAGAATGTCCCCATTTTGACTTGACACAGGCATTTAATCTCTGAGGCCGGTCATCAATAGCAGCACGCAGTACTTCTTGAGGAAAGCACTCAACTGCTCAGACCAGAGATTGTTTGGGGCTTTCCAAGTTAGGGTGTGCTCTGCGGCATACCATCCTCTCCAGTTTGGACCAAAGCCGATAATCTAGTGAGTTGAGATCAAGACTTCCTGAGGGTCAACCCGAGAGATGAACTCTTGAATGTTCAGTGAGCTGGAGCAGAATCCTACTGGAAAACCCAATGACTTCCAGCAAATAGAGTATCGTTTAGAGGCTTGACAACAGGGTCCAAAATATCCTCCTGATAGTTTTTAGAGGCTGTTTTAACTAACAAAAATGAAGCTTTGTGGTGCCATCAAAGCAAACTCCCCACCAAACCATCACTGAGGAAGGGTAATGACTTCTTTCCACTCTTCCAATGACTTCCTGGGCTTCTTTAGAGCTGTGTGAATTTCACACAATCATTTTGAAGATTAAATTTTTCTTTAATTGTAAAAATTTTATCATCGCTAAACAAAAGACCATTGGTCTAACAGCCAAGGAACACTTTGCTTCTATCCACTCTATTTTTTTTTTTTTTTTTTTTTTTGGGAAGTGGTTAGCCTTTGTACTGTCATTCTTTGAAACGCACCCATCCTTTTTATAATGCGAGACATAGATTTGACAGAAATTCCCATTTCCCGAGACATGATTTGTTAATTTCGAATGGGATTTCTTCTAATTCGAGCAGCCACTGCTCTCACTGCATTTGCCGTTCTCACAGTGTGGGGATAGATTCATCGAGGTCTGTCACATACAGATAGGGTCTCATTATATCTATTTATAGTGCGGTACATGAACAACAGCTGATACTCAAAGGTTTCAAAATGTTGAAAATCTCTGTCCTACATTTTCCAACTTTGTGTAAGGGGATATAGCTATTCACTTTTTTTTATCACTCCACTTCATTTTAACTGAGTGAAAGAAAAATAAAAAACAATAAGGATTATTATCCTGACATGGAAAGAAAATAACCTGATATAGGTAAGGCTTATATAAATAATAGCCAAGAATAGAAACAAAGTTGAATTTTTGTAACAGTATTTATGGCAGAACTAGTTATATGGATCTCTAGAACCTCAAACTTCGTTTTTTATTTCCTGGACAAAAGAAGAAAAGAAAAACATGTCACATATGGAAGTGAAAAAGAATATATTTCCAGCAATAACATATGGAACATGCAAGACGTTTTCTGGTAAAGAGCAGGTTAGAACAATAAATATGTTAGAATGTGAAAAAGAAATTGAAAATGTAAAAAATGAATAATCATATGATTTGTTTGGACTATGTCTGTATAAATACACTATATATGTCTTTTATTCCAACTATTATTATTTTAATGAGTATTATTGTATTTATTTTAATATAAATTTAAAATACATGTATTTATTTGTTTCTTTTACCGAACCATATTCATTTAATATTTATTAAAAACCCAACAATAATTCATATACTAATAAAAATTAACTTTTTTTTACTTTCACTTACGTATATATGTAATATATAGTAAGGGTAATTATTGCGATCGAGAAAATTTTTGAATCTGAGTTTTCAACAGAAATACACGTTTTGAGGTACCCTGAGTCGAAATAACCAAGTCCCGAAAAATGGTCTGTGTGTCTGTGTGTTTGTATGTTAGCAGTCTAGCTCAAAAACGAAAAGTCGTAAGAAACTGATATTACGTATTTAAGATAGGTATGTGCCTTAGATGTGACAGCAACTTTTTCCTTAAAATCGGCTAACCGGAAGTGCCACTTTATATCAACGCTGAAACACATTTTTATAATTTTCTCAAAAACGGCTCTAACGATTTTGATTAAACTCTGTGTATCAATGTATAATGAAGTAATCTTTAATACCAATTAGGTCTTATCCTCATTGATGTCACTTTACAGGGCTTAAATGCCCAATGTTCATATACGTCTTCCTCTAAAGTACCTTTAATATGGTTTATATTAAAAAGTTAATCATTTAGAGTTAAATTATTCAGAGTTACGAACTTTTGAAAGAATTTGATAAGTTAATAAAGGAGAAAAAAATAAAAATGCAGAAAAACCTGCGTTGCTATAGACTGCAACCCCTAAACGAATGTACCGATTTAAATGAAACTTTGCTAAAGTCATTTTCTCGACACCCTTTAAATTTATCTATATAACATACTTCAACGAAAAGAAGCTGGAAAAAAAAGTTACGAGGGATGGTAAAATTAAATTCCGAATAACCCAAAAAGTATACACTTTTTTGTCAATACTGTATATGGTTTTTTAAAAGTTTACGTAATCTCCTAAAAAACAAAAACAAAAAATCGTTAAAATCGGACAATTAGGAGGAAAGATATTGTCTCTAGTTTTTTTTTTAATATGTTCTGCTTCAAAGCTTATATCTTTTGTTTTATCAACTTACTCACTGTCTGCATAGATAACTTTTTCAACTAAAAATATCACTAAAATGACATTATTAAAAAATGTTGAAATTGGAGTTAGTCATTCTGTGGTTTATAAAAGCAAAGAAAGTTGTGTGGTTTGTAAAAGCAGATGGAATGACTAAATTTTTATTGCTTACCGTTGATATATTAAATAGACATTTTGTAATTATAATGGTCTTAATGACTTGTTATCTGTAAGCTTTAAAGTTTATCTCTGTTTAAAATGCACTTCATAAAATTGTATAATAGCCCAGCATTGCCAGAAAGTAATTGATATTCAAAGTAGAGCGGTAAGAGAAAGTTATGTGTTGCGCGCACCATATTTTTTAATATTAAGATTCAATTTATTAATTTGAATAGATCTGTTATCTGTTAAACTGTAAAAATATTGAGTGTTACATTAATCACGCGCATACTCATGTAACCAGGAATGGCGCCTCCTTGCGGGTTAAGCTGTATAGGAGGTTGTTCACTGACAAATTTAGATTGTAGTGTAATTATTCAAATATTGATTCAACAGTATACATAAAATACCGCACCATAAAAGAGAAAATTCAGACATTAGGAAATTAGGACAAACTAAGGAATAATTTTCAAAAATAATACAATGGTTTCATTCAATATATTTAACTTAACTTCAAACTAGTCAAATCAAAATTGTGACAACAAACACCTGTAAACAGTCTTTCATGAAACATCACTTCTTCAATCTGGAGACTTCTGTAATAGGAAACATTAATGATAACGACAAAGGAGATGACAAACACAAAACTGACATAATCAAACAAAAAGTTGTCTATATAACATGCTCATAAATGATCAGTTTCTATTATTTAAACATACCTCTAGTGTATACGTGAACATTTATATTCCAACAACTGCGGTTCTTTGCTAAACCATTCCTGCTCAAACCAAGAGCAATAACAAATATAATGTTTACCAGTGATGACTCCAACAGCTTTGAACTCTATTACATATTTTATTCCTTTCACAACCTAATAAATAGGCCAACAATTAAGCATTGTAACACTTTTAACTTTAGGTAAATATTTAACAACTTGTAAAATATAATATTTGATAATGTTGGCTAAAAGCACAACCATTTATATCCACTTTTTATTGGACAATGTGAACTATTGTTTACAAATATTTTATGTCCTAATGTGAAGTAAAAGATTTTTTTTCTCTATATTTTCAAAGCTGTGCATTGGAACACAAGACTTGAAACCAAGACTTCTTGGGATAGCTAAAAATCTAGAAACTTAAAAAAACAATAAACAAATCCTAATAAACATTAATAAGCAACTAAGTGGTTCATCTTCTACAAGAAATTGCAGCTTTTAAACTCACCTCATACTAAACAAACAGATTTTATGAAAATGTAATGGTTGTGATTTTAGCCATCAATGTGTTTTCTTTTTTTTTTCTTATGTTAGTTATAACACATTAAATGTCTTCATTTATTCATACAATATGAAAGAAAATAATAATTTGCGCTAAATAAAATAATACTTAGCATTAAGATGAAATAAAGGAAATTTTAAATTTCGTACCTGCTCTGTAGAATTGATTATAATAATTTCTTGTTTGGGTTCTTCATCTGACAAGGTATTATGTTCAGATACAAATTTACCTATTTTTTCAGAAAGAACTGGATTCTTTGGATCTATTAACTTTTCACATCCCTCACAAGACTGTAAAAAAAAAAAAAGAAGATTATATATATATATATATATATATATATATATATATATATATATATATATATATATATATATAAATATATATATATATATATATATATATATATATATATATATATATATAAACATAAACATGTATCGATTCGTATAATATAATAAATTCAATTGATTTAACAATACCAGTATAGATATTAAAAATTGACATAGTTTTATAAACTTGGAGTTTATTAAAAGATATTTCCTAGTATCAAATAGCAAACTGGACTAAAATTAGAATATAAATGCAAAATTCCAACAACAGAATCTTGAGTCCCCAACGTACTGGTGAATATTTCAATACACTAACATTTAGCTAATTTAGGCAGTACATATTAAGATGACTTGGTACAGTGTATTGTCACAGCTAAATATAGCTTTTTTTCATTTGCTCTGCATATATATATATATATTTTCCTTTTTTTTTTGGTTGGCTCTACAGATCTTGTAGATCTTTGGCCGCCTGAACCAGCCTTCTTCACCTCTGCCTATCTTGGGCTACTGCTTTCCAGTTTGCGGCATGAAGCACAGCCGTATCTTTGTTTATCCTATCTATCCATCTGGTTTTTGGCTTCCCACGTGGTCTCTTGCCTACTACTCTGACATTCATTGTCGTATAGAGGCGTCCTGATGGATTACTACGAGTTACATGCCCTGCCCATCTTAACCTCCTTGCCTTCATGTCATGAGATATTGACTGGCCCGTTTCTTTCAACAGTTCTTTATTGTTTCTTCTCCTCCATGTGTCAAGGTTCTGGTCCCATATAGGTCCTTTTATCCTACGTATAAATATATATATATATATATATATATATATATATATATATAAGATAAAGACCGGAGACTGGCGATATCAGCCTTAATACCATCCTGGAATGTAAAAAACATGATAAATATATATAAGTAGGATTATTGGATGAATAAAGCAGAGTTGATTCAGAAGCTGTGAGTGTTGTATCTCAAACCCTTTTCCTTTTTTTTTATTGTTGAAGTTCGCCAACGCTTAACTGGTGCCGAAACCCGGGACAACGTCAGGAGACCATAGAAGTATTTTTTTTTTTAATTGAATTTCATTTTTTTTATCTTTTATCTCTTAGTCACAAGGAAAAATTGAGATGCCGACAGAGGGCTTAATCCGACCAGGAGTGTTAAGCGCACCGGAAATTCCTCAGATAACTCAGATCACGCAGGCCCCTCAGATCCCTCAGATACCTCAAATCCCTCAGGTAGCGCAGATCCCCCAGATCCAGCAGATCCCTCCCTTGATGAGGGACACATTGGCAGAAGCGCACGCCAACGCATTAGAATGGATGAAGATAAGGGCAGCGACCACGCAGGATCTACGGAGAGCAATCGCGGACCTGGAACGCTTCGGGGGCGATGTAGGAGAGCTTAACCATTTCTTGAAAGGCGGAGACCGCCTCATGTCAAGAATCGAGGTAAAGGTGGCGGAGGACCTTGTGAACCTAGGGGACGCGGAAGCGCTTGTGTGCCGAGTGAGGAGGAACATCCTGAACCAAATTCAAGCAGACGAGGAGACACCATGGCCGGTGATCAAGGAGCGATTGAAGAAGGCTTTTGGAGGAGGCAGATGGACGCCGGAAGAGGATATCTTCCAAATGTTTAGAGAGCGTCGGTCCCAACGACAGACAAGGGGACAGTACGCGGGGGTACTAGTGGCAAAGTACAACTGCATAACTGAGAAAATGCGCGAAACAATGAGTGTGGGAGAGGTTGAAGCCAGGATGGAGTTCCTTTCGACGATACTCAAAGTCCAGCTAGCTAAGGAGACTGGGAGGAGGGACGGACTGCCTAGAGAGCGATCGTTCCTCGAGTGTGCCCAAGAAATGATAGATCTGAGTGCAAGAGAGGAAGACACTCGGATGGATGTAAAAGAACCAGGGTGGATCCGAGTGAATGACAGACGACCAAGGACAGCCGCGATAGGTTGGAAGAAGAGAGAAATGAGACAACCAAGTGGAGAACAATATCCGGAAATGCATGAATAGGTTACAAGCAGAACCCGTGTTGGCGTTCCCGGATTTTGAGAAGCAATTTAATATCACCACCGATGTGAGCGAATATGCGTTAGGAGCCGTTTTATCCCAGGGCGGAATTGAGGGGGAACGTCCGATAGCATACGCAAGCCGACGGCTCACTAGTGCGGAATCGCAATACAGCGCTCTGGAAAGGGAGCTACTTGCGATAGTGTGGGCTATCGACCATTTCAGGCCATATATATTCGGGAGGAAGTTTCGAGTCCACACCGACCACAAACCCCTTCAGTGGGTAGGGAAACTAAAGGAAACCTCAGCTAGGGTCACGAGATGGAAAGAATTCCTTAGTCAGTACAACATAGAGGTGGTGTATAAGCCGGGAAAGGAAAACGTGGTGGCAGACTGGCTCTCAATGCGTTAGAAGAGGACAGGGGAGGACCATCGCGGGATGTGTGCCAATTCTTGAGTGAATGGACTCCTGATGGCGAAGGGGCAGGTGATACCGTCGGTATAGAAGACAGGGAGGAGTCTCCAGAAGAGGAGAGCTCAGCAGAGGAAAGAGCAACGGAGATGGATGAGATAGACGAGATCATTAACGACAAGCATCGCCAGGTGATCTGGAAAACGAGAACAGCAGGGATCATGAAAATAGATTTCAGGAAATATGGGAAAAGTAGGATTCACGTCATCTGGTCGCAACCCGGGGTAAGTGAAGAGCAAATCCGTAGGGCACTGAAGGACGCCACGGTGGCGGGAAAAACGCACCATCTCTATGTTAGGAATAATACCATATGGGACAAAATAAAGCGAATGTGGAGATCCGAGCAAATAGGCGTGGATAGGACATTCATCCGTTGCAAGTATTCAGTGGAAACCATACAGGACGAGGAGCAACAAAAAGCAGTCACATTGGCATATCATCAGAGGAAGACCAACCACCGAGGCGTGAACGAGACGTTGCAGGCATTATGTCGAAAGTATTTCTGGTGGGGCATGAAAAGATCCACCCAAGAAACTATAGGGAAATCCGAGGTATGTATGCGCACAAAATATGATAGACATCCCCCCAGAGGGGTCCAGGAAGAGACACCTACAGGGAATATGCCGCTACAGGATCTCCGAATTGATACATTCACCTGGAGAGGGTTCAAGTGGGTTATTATAATCGACGTCTTCAGCAAAGTAGCTATGGCACATCAGGTCATGGACAAGTCAGCCAACGCAGTTGCGGAAGCCCTACAAACCTGGGTGCAGTTCTACGGGGTCCCCGAGAGGATCACATCAGACGGCGGTAGGGAGTTTGACAATGCCGCGACTAGGGAGGAGGTGAAACGATTAGAGATTGTTTGGCACTATAACATCCCGGGACATCCTAAAAGTAGAGACGGCATCGAACGGTTGCACAGCACATTGAGTGACCAATTCCGTGTATATCAGGGGGAAAAAGGGTTGGAGCCGGATGTCGCAATGAAGAAAGCGGTAACAGCCTATAACCATTCGATTCACTCTGTAACGGGATTTTCACCCGTGGAAGTACTATTCGGGATGCGCAAGCCGAGGCGAGATTGGGGAGAAACAACGATCACCGAACCGATAGTAGAGCAAATCCATAGTAATAGGGTAGAGGTAAAGAAGACGTGGAGAAAAGTAATGGGGAAAATTGAGCGGGAAAAGAAGAAGCGGGTAGAGAGGCAGAATGTTCAGGTACGTGACCAAATGGGAGACCTAAAGATCGGAACAATAGTGTACCGTAGATTATGAACCAACAGAGGGAAACAATTGTTACGGTACGAGGGTCCATTCAGAGTGGTTGCTATTAGGGAGCTTTTCATTGATACTTTCAATGGTTAGCAGATTATGCTAACCATTGAAAGTATCAATGAACCGAAGAAGAGGAGAATTGTTCACATTGAACAATTGAGGCTCCCAATGATAGACCCAGAACAAAAACAAACGGATTCGTAGTACCCTCACCGCCGTAGATAAGAAACATGTCTTTTTTTTTGTTTGTTTGTCAGAACATAAAGATGTTGTCATTTTTTTTTATATATGTAAATAGAACTATAGCAATACAGTAGAGGAAGTAGTAATATTTTTTTTTAGTTTCTTAAGAGTTCTGTTCTCTTGTTAATAAGACGTTGTAAGCAAGTGTTTTGTTTAGTTTCTGTGTTTTGTTTTTTTGTTATTTCTCGTTCCAGATGAGCGGAAGTGAGTTTTAGTTTCTTTTAAGTGTATACTGGTAAGAACAATTGTAAGGTGTTAAGGCTGATAACCGTTTGCTCCGATCTAGGAATATGTAAGTTTCCGAAAATCCTATTCGTAAACTGGTGGGGGGGACATAAGGCCGGTGACTGGCGATATCAGCCTTAATTCCATCCTCGAATGTAAACAACATGATAAATGTATATAAGTAGGATTATTGGATGAATAAAGCAGAGTTGATTCAGAAGCTGTGAGTGTTGTATCTCAAACCCTTTTCCTTTTTTTTTATTGTTGAAGTTCACCAACGCTTAACTTATATATATATATATATATATAAACATATATGAAGAGAAAAACTTATTATAACTTGTATCAAACATTATATTAACATCTAAACTGATACATTACGTTTAACATTGACCAACTAATATGGCCAAATGGAGAGCCACAGCAAAATAAGGCGTACCTAATGCCTTATAAGTTTATCAATTAAAATTATGGGAGTCAGTGCAAAAAAATAACTATAGCAAAATAATGAATTATAGAAAATTTTATAAGCAGTTTATCCTTAGGAACTTTCTTTAAATTATAACACTAATATTAAAAAAAAAAATTGCTCCAATCCATAAATGGTTTTTGTGTCATTTTAATACAGTTACCAAATTACCAACTGGATTTATCAACGTTAAATTTTAATGATATTATTATTATGGGCCTTTGTTCCATAATGCTTACAACATATATAGAGTATAATGAAAGATCCTTGATACAAATACATTATATAAAATTTTTAACTTAAGTGCTCCTTAGTAAACATTCAAGAATGGTCTTTTATCAAAAATAACAAATAAATAAATAACTTTTAAAATCTAATTTAATCACATATACCTCAGCAGATACATAATAAATACATAGTGCGCAGGATATCAATAGGAAAAAAACGTTCAGTTTCATCATAGCAGCAGGTTGACAACTAAAACTCAAACATAATGCTGAGCTCTTTTTATATAGTTTAATTGGTGGGGGAAGGAGTCCTCCACGTAATTTCAAGCCTACTTGGAACAATCAAGGGATGTGATATAGTCGATTGTTTTCCACTAACGACAGTTCGATAGTATCGATAGTTTAGTAACTTCCGGAAGACTTAAGAGGATTTATTTTTCCTGTATGTATTCTTTAGTTATTTACTTGGAAATGCTGCGTAAGCTTAATAATAATTAACATTTATGTTGGATATATTCTTAAAGATTTATTATGATAAGGCATCAATAAAAGTTATTAAATAAATAATTTTAAAAATAGTGTAGAGATGATTGACCGAAATGATAATATGAGGAGTTGGTAGGGAGTTGCGGTCAAATGAATACTATGTATCAAAATAGTATTTTATTGTTTAGAATAAACAAATAGAATTTTCGATCTTCTTCGTAAGTTTTCATCAGAGATACAAAAGATACAAAAAATAAAAATTACATGGTGAAAAAAAATTAATTATTAGTGATATTAAACAAGAAACAGTTGTCTGATAAAGAAATAATAAGATGGCATCAAAGATATAGTGTGGCATTTTTAGGTATGCATCAACTAAATTTTATGAAAACGATAAAAATTATAAACGGCCCAGACAACAGAAATCTTTATTTGTACTTAAGAACATCCACTAATTATAGATATGAATTAGTGAGAGACTATAATTTAGAATAAGAGGTATCTAAGTTTATGTTCATGCATATTTGTACATAATATACGTATATTTATATTTTTATATTTAGAAAGAATCTTTAGTCAAAATTAAAATTTTTTTTTAATTAAGTAGATAATATTGCAATTGGGATATTGTATTATTAAAACTGCGAATTCTTAAAAGATAAGATATCTCCCCGAATAAACTTCATAAGGTCATTGTCGATAAATCGTTTAATTATATGTTAGAAAATATGATGTTATGTACTTTATAAACAAATAAATGCTTCTATCTATCTATAGTGTGACTATGTAGTTAAAATATCAAGTATTACATATATAGAAAATACAAACGAAAATAGAAAATAAGATTGAATAAAAATATAAAACAAAGGCGAATACAGCGTGTAAGTTAAAAATAAACTGATCGTGATGAAAAGATAAATTAAGGATAACAAACTGTACTTGGTGGGCCAGACTACCCTACCAGGGACCTCTCCCCCACATCCCTATAAATTGCATATTGTTGTGTTCCATGTAACTATTTACTAAAAAAGAAAACATTGCCCCAAAATGACGTCCAAACATGACGACTTTGACTTAAGTTAGTTTTTTGTCATTGAGAATCAGAATTTGGCTTAATTTCGTCATAGTTGGTCTTTTATTAAAACTGGATAGTCAGATAATAATAAAACATAAAAAATATTAAAAAATAATTGACATAGGCAATAAAGAACACCAGTAAAGTCAATTTCTTTAACAAAAAAAAATTCAAGGTGAAAATTAAGCGTCTTATTTAATTAAACGGCCAATAATAACGCAAAACGTGCTAAAATAAAACATCTCGAATAAAAATGAAGAAAGTTTCATCGAAATCATGGTTATTTAAAAGTTTAGGGAATTTCCTAAAAAAACAATCGTTAAAATCGGACAATTAGGGGTAAATTATAATTAGGGGGTCTCTAGATGTTTGTTATATAATCTAATGCAATGGTTTATCCTTTTTTTTTATTTATGATTTATGAATGTGTTACTGAAGTAATGCTAATTTTTTTAGCCAATTACTAATAATTAAAAAAAAAATGTTTAGTCAAATAATTGAAATCACCTTATATTTATTTTTTCTTTGTAAATAGGAAGGTAATGTTACTTTAGATGTAAAATTGTTTGGAAATAATAAACCATTGTGAAATAATTTGCAGCGTTTTTTTTTTTTCATATATTGCAACTAAAGAGTGCATTAAAGCGAAAAAAACGTTTTATTTAAGAAATTATAGAACGCCAAATTGTTTGGCGAACGAGCACCTATACTTAATAATTTCATTTGATAATGGTTCAAGTCGATAACCACTGTCAATGAACGCTAATTTTTACCGACACAGTCAAAATTCAAAAAGATTACTATAAATGGTCCTGCAGTTTGGAAATGAGTCCTCTATGAAAAAATAACTCAGAATAATTTCCGATTCCGATCATAATCAGATTCCGATCAAATCGGAGACCAAACAATTAGTATCTTCCTTCATGAAAACGTTCCCAACAACAGCTATTTTAATAAAAGAACGTTTTCTAATGAGACATATACAAATTATTATCGTGCCCAGTTCTATGAATCGTATGGATTCAAGGAGACTGTAGTAGCTGAAGGTTGAAATGCTATTGGAAATGATTAAAAACTAGGTCCTGGAGAAAATCCGCATTTTCTTGTGCTCGTATAAAAGTTTGTTCGAAGGAATAAATGAAGTTAATTTTTTTTTTTTTTTTTAATAATTTTTCCTCCATCAAGTATTTCACCTGCGTGAATCAGTTCGGAGTCAGTAGGAACAAACTACGACAGGAACACAAGCCTTTACATCTCACGGCGGCCCCAAAAACTAAATCACTTCACCCTACGAGCCAACTTTTGCTCTTACATTCTATTGTTTGTTTCACAAAATCTCGTCGTGCGTCAAAGACCGGGCACAAGTTGATCTACAGACTGATGAGGTGACGTGATATGACAAACCATAAGATTAATAATAACGGTCTTGATAATAATGAGGATGAATTCTCCCTATATTTTATTTTATTTAAATAGCTGCTTTTTGGAACTTTTTGTCCACCATTCAGAGGGATGGTCACCCCCTTGCACAATTTGCTAGTGCTGGTCACAACAATATTTTTTTATATATTACATTAGAAAATTCGTCTTTGAGAATGAATTTTCCCTATATTTCTCTTTTCATTGAACAGCTGCTTAAAATATTAGTTTTCGAAAGGAAGGTTCTTCGAAAGATATTTGACACAGTTAAGGAGAATGGTGAATGGAGAATTAGACGCAACCAAGAACATGCCAACTTATACAAGGAGCCGGATGTGGTGAAATGTATCCGGATAGCAAGGCTGAGATGGGAGGGCCAAGTTGGTCGGATGGACGAGAAGTCAATCCCAAAGAAGCTGCTGAGCATGGAACGAGTGGAAAAAGAAGAGTGGGCTGGCCGAATCTGAAATAGAAAGATGAAGTAAGTGCTGATGCCAGAATCCTTGGAATTAGGAACTGTTGGAGGCTGCTCAGGACAAGGAAACATGGAGGAAAATTTTTGAGGCAGCCAAATTCCAGTAATGGATTGCCGAGCTCGGGATGATGATGATGATCACATTAGAAAATTCGTCTTGGAGGATGATTTTTTCCTACATTTCTCTTTTTATTAAATAGCTGTTTTCTGAAATTTTTCCTGGGAATTATTTTTCCACCCATCAGAGGAGGCGCCGCCCTCTGGCAGAAATCACTCGTGCTGGTCACGATAATAACTTTTTTTTGTATTACATTAAAAAAATTCGTCTATGAGGATGATTTTTTTTTCTATATTTCTCTTTTCTTTAAATAACTGCTTTTTGGAACTTTTTTTGGAATTTTTTCAAGCTTCCAGGGCGGGGGAAAGTGGAGCCGAGCGCTCCCCGACAGAATCCGCTAATGGTATATATTAGGATAATTACTTTGGAAGAAAGATAGAAACTAACTACCTTTATGAAATGGTGTTTAAGATTATTATTATTATTAATTAGTAATTAGACAAACAATAATACTTTTAAAGATATTTTTTTTCATAATACATGGATATATTTTACCATTTTTGGGGAGGAGCTTCAGCAGGGACAAAGTAAACCGAACTGCAGCGAATACATAGGCAACAAATGTATTAGAAAATGATATGAAAGAATTGTAGTTTTGTCACTTAACAAGAAAGAAAACACTCGTAAATATAACACTGAGATTCATTCCTGTTTAGTGTACCAAATAAACTCTATTCAAGAATGGTAGAAGCTAGAATAGGGAATATTGTCGATTGCCAGAGCGATATGGATTGAGAAACACATGTTGCACATTGGAACAGAAGTTGCAAATTGGGGTAGTCTTCACTTTATGGCAGATTATAGCGAAGTCCATCAAGAAGGAAAAAAGCACTCTATCTGCTTAGTATCTCACACTTTTGATTGTGCTAATATCTACTAGTTTTTCAGAAAATCTCATTTTCCTTTCCTTCAATCTATTTCCCTTCCTCGACAGACCTCTCTATAACCTGCTTCAAAGTGAAGATAGTCCCAATGTGCAACTTCAGTAGCAATCGAAATAAAGTCGTTTTCACCATAATAAACCTAGGTTATTTAGTCCAGACCTGCTGACTTGCCATTTGCTTCAAACAAATCTATCTTGCTGATAAAATGCTCTTCACCATAATAAAACTACACCTTCCCCTCAATATCATCCAAAATGCTCCAGCATTTCAGCCCCTTTTAGCTGCATCTTGAAATATTCTGTTCGTTTGTCTACTATATATTCGTTCAGCCGTATAATGGATACTGGTCCTTGTTTTCTTTTCCGAGATTTTGGCACTTCCTATCTCGTTCGCGTAGTGTATTTTCCAATTTTTGGGTTCATTTTCGCGCTTTCCCTCATTATGAGACGAAATACTAACAATCAGTTCCGGTTACCTGAAAGAACTTATAGCTTCGCCCTTTCCATCTGTCATTGTGCAGAGCGAATAATGCATTCAATATTAAATTTTTTTATTCTTTTAACATATGGTCCAACTTTCGAACAAAATAAAGGAAATACAAATTTTTTTTTTGTTAGTGATATATGAATTTTAATAAATAACCAATCATCTATTTATTATATCTAGTTCAGAATAGGTATATATTATTTTAGTTTATAAAACAGGTATTAATATGACTCATTTCTGGAGAAGTATATACAATTTAAATTACCTCTAATAATCATTAAATATACAAAACAAACGGTT